AAAATGTGCACTTATAAAATGTGTTAATGTTGTACAGAATAATTTAGAGCATGAGTTACATAATAATGGTAATGAATATATTTTAGGGTCAGTAGAAGATACAAATCCATTTTCTAAAAAATAAAACAGAATGGTTTGAAAAACTAAAAGTAAACATATCTAAATATTTATTTGTTAAGTTGGATACTGGAGCTCAGTGTAATGTGCTACCATTGCCTAAATTTAAACAATTACATTTAAGAGAGAAATGTTTTGACTAAATCAAAAGTCACTTTAAATAATTACAATGGTACTACAATTGATGTAGTCGGAAAATGTAAATTATTATGTAAAACTCGAAAGGGGACAAGGATGAAGTAGAATTTCAAGTCATAGCATGTGATAAAACTGTTCCAGCTATTTTAGGTTTACCTACATTGCAAAAATTAAACCTAATTCAAAAGGATTTGTACAGTAAATCCTGATTCCAATGAAAAGTTGCCAGAATCTTTAAAGGATATCAAGATTTCTTTAAAGGAACTGGGAATTTAACTGGATATACATATCATATTAAATTAAAACCAGGAGCTGTTGGTAAAATAGAGCCCTGTAGGAAAATTCCACTTAGCTTATTAAATCCATTAAAAAAGGAATTAGCAAGAATGGTAAAAGATGGTAAATAAAGAAAGGTAAACAACCAACAGAATTCGTGAATTCATTCGTGGTAGTAAGGAAAAGGATGGTAATTTAAGAGTGGTGTTTAGATCCTCAGCACCTTAACCAAAAATATACTGAGAGAACATTATTACATACCAACCTTTGAAGAAATTTCATCTCAAATGACAAATGCAAAGGTCTTTAGTATTTTAGATGCAAACAAAGCATTTTGGCAAATTAAACTGTCAGATTCAAGTAGTGAATTTACTACGTTTAACACTCCGTTTGGTAGATATTGTTTTTTGAGGTTGCCATATGGACTAAGTTCATCACCAGAAGTTTTCCATAGAAGTTTTTCTGAAATCTTTAGTGATTTAGAAGGAGTTCAAATATATATAGATGACTTATTAGTTTGGGGTAAAGATAAAAAAGAACATGATTTAAGATTAAAGAAGTTGTTGGACAGAGCCAGAGAAAATAATGTTAAATTTAATTTAAATAAATGTAAATTTGGGCTGAATGAAGTGATATATGGGACATATATTTTCTAAAGATGGTTTAAAAAACCAGATGAAGACAAAATTAAGGCTATTCTAGATATAAAACCACCAAAAAATGTGAAAGAATTAGAAAATTTCCTAGGAATGATTACATATGTTTCTAGATTTATACCTAATGTATCAGAATTGACATCATGTCTAAGAGATTTGTTGAAAAAACAAGTTATCTGGAACTGGAATGCAACACATGAAAAAGCATTTAGAAGACTAAAAGATATCTTAGTAAATAAACCAGTTTTACAGTACAGTGAAAAGTCTTTAATCCGGACTCGTCAGGACTTCGGCGATTCCGGATTATCGATTTTTCCGGATTATAGATCATCAGTTTAAAAATCTGGTAAGATGGCATGCAGAAATTATAAAATTAAAAATCTGAAAACTGTAATTTATAAAATAATAAGCAATTATGATCTAAAGGGTATCAAAATTTACAAAAAAAGAAGCTTAATATTTATTGTTTACTTTATTAAACATTTCTTTCACACGCGCATGCGTAAAGCATACCTTACGCATAACCGAAATTAGAAAATTGCAACCAAAAAACTATTTGATTTGTATTCGTGATATTTATAATGACGAGGAATTTGATTTAAATCACATCAAAGATGGAGTACATCGACATGAAATACTACATTTAGTAAGGAATTATAAGCCGAATAAAATAAAAACATCTGCCCTGAAGATAACGATAGTGCTGACAGATCAACTTCCAGTTCATTGCGCGCTGCGACGTCGTCCCCCCCCTCCCCGCTCAGAGCAGCGTGAAATTGATAAACAGATTTCGGAATGGTTAGAGAAACAAAGGATATGTCTTTATCCATTTTTTGCAGCAATTCCACTTTTTTGTTTGATGGACATCGAAACATGCTTTTGTAGATCCTTTGGCAGCTCCAGAATCAGAAGTTCCTTTTGACATAATTGAAAATTCAAGCTTCTTTTATAAAATTGCTCTAACAGTCTGCAAAAAATATTAAGCCGGATCCACTTAGAAGATTAAGAAACAATGCAATCTGCAACATTAACTGAAATAGATAATTAGATAATTTTAACCTAGCTTATATCATCCAGTATACATTAAATGCGCATGCGTAAAGGTATTATGCGCATGCGTAAACACATTATGCGTTTACGCATGCGCAGAAAGTTTGTAGCTTTGAAGTCCGGATTATAGATCATTCTGGATTATGGACGTCCGGATTAAAGACTTTTGACTGTATTGTTTTTTAATACACTCCAAAATAGCAATGTGCTAAAGATGCATTTGATGTTCTGGATGAAATGGCTGCAACGTATTCAATGGCTAAAAAAACAAGTCGTTCCCGTATGGCTATTTTTTTTATTCCATGTTGAACGTTGCTGCAATAAATGCACGGATAATTTTGCTATCAACAAAGAAACTACCTACTGAGCATCAACCTGACGTTCATTTCTGAAAACATCACCATTTCAGTTGATAAGAGATTGTAAGAAGTCAATAAGCAATGTTCCCACAAAGTCTAAAAGTAAAACTGGGCAACAATGAGGCCGTTGCAACCCCTGCTAAGAAAGTAAAGACAGCATATAAAAGATGTGCTTTATGCAGGGTCAAAAAAAAGAAGACAGAAAAACTAACTTAGCCTTTAAAAAATGTGTAAAACATGTATGCATGGAACATATGGCATGCATCTGCTGGAAATGTGCAAATTAAAGGTAAAAATTTTAATATATGTTTTAAAATATGTTTTCTCTTCTCTGTTTTTGTTGTTTTAGATTTTGTGCAGATTTAGTGGTAAAAGAGGGGAAGAAACTGCCCTGGGTATGTCATACCCAGCGCGAGCAGTCCTGTTTGTTTTTCTTGCGTGACTAATGCCAGGTTAAGTATGGAACTGAAAATTTTATTGATGGAAGGAAAAACAAACCGAAAGTTGTAAAATATGTGCAAAGAAAGGAATGAGAATAGAATTCTTAAAATCTCCTACAACAAAAAGGGCATGTGTGTGATCTTTTGAGCTGGGAATTTTTTAACCCATTGTTGTCAGTAATGGTGGGTGAAAAGCCTCTGTCAATGGCAACTGCTTTTAAGTAATTTAGTTCTTGATCAAGAGCTGATCATGGTGTGTTTGGAAAACGAGGATTCTGTTCACATTTATAAAATTCTTTCTGTTTTAGTTAATGATCCCAATTTCAATCTGTCTGCACTCTCAGCTTTGAAGGAAATTATTTCAAAATTGTTTTGATTTTTATCAATAGATGCTGCCAGTAGCTTGACTTACTTCCTCTCATTCTTATGGCCTTATGTTATTTTGTCACTGGCTTCACTTTTATTGCACTTCTGCAGCTGAAGAAGGAGAGTTTGTATTTTAATGTCCAAAACTAATTTGCAAACTAATTGAAAATTTATGAATATTATGCCGGTTCTCTTTACTGAACTCAAAAAATCATATATACGGTACAAAATCTGAAATCTGGACTCGTCGGGACTTCGTCGATTTTGGAAGTGGAATTTTTCCGGATATTAGATCATCAGTTTAAATCTAGTAGAATGGCATGTAGAAATTTTAAAATTAAAAATATGAAATTGTGCTTTATGAAATAATGAAGCATTTATGATCTAAAGGGTAACAAAATTAAAAAAAAAATAGAGCTTAATATTTATTTATTTACCTTACTAAACATTTCTTTAAATGTGAGTTATTTAAGGTGCTTTGTTTTTTATGCTAATACTTTCTCTTTAATTCTGTAGACAGACATGATCTCTTGTTTAGTTTCATTGTTGAAGTCCTGTAACTGCTGTTTCGAGAATTCCGACTAACTTGTCAATCGAAATTTTCTTGTTTTCAGTAACTGCTCTGTCATTTTCTTCAATATTGGTAGCGGTTATTTTCTGGATCTAGAACCATACTTCAGACTTTTGCATCGTTCCTTAAATGATTGATGATTGAGAAGCATTGTTCATCACAATGACAAACTTTTTTTTTTATATCATCTTCATTTAGTTACTACGCTTCTCTACATTTTTGTACACAAATTCCGTTTACTTGGAAAATTTCACCTTTGTATTTGCGATATCAGAAAACCTTTAAAATTAGCAGCAATCATCATCAAATTTAGCTATCCTTCACTATACATATTTGGCTATGCATCATGAGCTTGGTGACTAATGACAAGTTGTTTCGTTAAATTTTATATTGCTTCTGTCGTGCATTGAGACAATTAAGCCTGAATTGTATTAATTTAGGTATACTGTTAAAAATTTATAAGTATAATAAATATATTTATTATATCCGGAACAAATCCACACTCTTGCAAGCATGGCAAGAGTGTGATAGAAGGATTGAGAGCAGCTATGTGTCTACCTAAAGCATCCCAAACATGCTCTATAGGATTCAGGTCTGGTGATTAAGGTGGCCACTCCATGCGCTGAATTGTTTGCTGCTTAAAATAATCATCCATGATGTGAACCTTGTGTGGTTTAGCATTGTCGTTCTGTAACAGGAAATCATCTATTGCTATGAAGGTCTGTGCGACCACCCAAAGAGATACTATCCCAAAGACAGACACTGCTTCCTGTATGCATATCTTTCAAGAATGTTTGATGGACGATAATGGGTTTCGTGTTCTCTCCAAATCAAATAACACCTACTATCTCTTTTGAGACTGAACTTGGACTTGTCAGAGGACAAACCGCCAATGTTCAGCCAGCCGTCCAGTGGATATGTTGATATACCCACCTCAAACTTTCCCTTCTATGATGTGACGTAAATGGCATTCAAATAGCTGGCCAACTCATGATTGATGTTGACATCAAACTTCTTGTGTCTGCAGCAAGGGAAGATCTGAGTTGAGTCCGAGGAGTGATTCTATTCCTTTGTGTGCATTACAACAAAGATCAGTTATCAGCCCTTGTCATAGTGGTTGGCCATCCTTGGCTGAACCTTCTGGATGCCGAATCTGTGGTTAGAAATTGTAGCCGTAGTCTCTGAACCACAGACAGACTCACTTTTAACCATCTGGCCACTTATGTCAGTCTTTGTCCTGCCTCTAGTCTCCCAATAACTCTCCATCGCAGTTCTTTGGGCAAATGATGCCTGGAGGTCATTGTTACAAATTGGCTGTCCCAGATTTCTTATCTCAGTATCGCAGCGAAATCTGCAGGCTTGCTCTGAAACAGACAATTTTATGCTCCTCAATAGATGACATATTTCAGTTGCAGTGCCACTAATTTGCATACTGCAGTTGTACTCAGCAATTCTTATTTGAGAACGTATTAAAATTTTATGTGGATGGGCTTATTTTTGAACCAATTATCCCTATTTTTGTAAATTTTCCTTAATTTTTGGAAACAAGTGTATTTTGCTTATTCATTAATGCTGTTCCCTTTTTAGAGAAACTTTTAGATATGTATGATTGTTATATGGTGACTGAAGACTACATTGTTTCTTGCTGCTATTAACATTTAATTGTTTTCAGATTCAGTTCTTGACTTAGATGATTTCTCTGGTTTGAAAAAAAAGAAAAAGAAAAAAAAGCCATTCAATTTGGAGGAGATAGAATCAAATTTACCTGTAAGTTCTTTGCTTAATTTTATATGTAGGTTTAAATATATGTAAAATAAAATTGTAATTTGTCATGACTCCTCAAGTTTCTTTTTTCTTTTGGTTATTTTCCTTTTATATTCTAAAAACAGTAATATGCTAATAAAAATTATTTCAAGTGCATCATTCAAAAAGTCATTCCTGTTACGATCCCAAATGGCTGAGAGGTTAAAATTTTTGAATAGTTGTAGCTCAGACTCCTGGCAAATGGCCTGGCTGCATGGGTATTTTTATGGTTTTCAAATGCGTAGCCTGGTTACCAGCCAATTTCCCTTAGAATGTCTCTTCTCTTAGGCTTTCATTTGCTTTTCCGTATTCAGATATCCTGTCATGTGATTTTTGTCATGCTAATCATGCACACTTTTACATAACAACATAAGTAAGGTCTTTTATCCAATTAGAATTAAACAAAATTAAACAGAGTTGTGTCATCTGTCACCTCCCTTCTGTTGCCATTTATTTCTAATAATGCATGAAAAATACACGGATAATTATGAAATGGTGGACCTGCATCTTGTATTAATTTAATTACGTATCTTTGAATGTTAAAGAAGTGTTTCAACTGGCAGAGCTTGCATCTTCATTGTAACCATTTAACTCTCATCATTATTTTCTAATAAAGACTAAAAATTATTATTGCAATTAAATTCAATTCTCAGCATTTGTGTGAGAAGCTCCTACCAGGGAATTTTCACCTCAGTCTCATAGATAATGACGATTACAGCTGGATTGTTACAGTGGAAATGTGGTCATCAGTTTAAACAGTTCATTACTCTTGGTTCAGCAGTCTCATGAGCATACACATCTAAAACTGTTGTAAGATGCTGGCTGATTCTTTCTTAATTTTACTAAGTATACTTTTCAAATATTCATAGAATTGCAACTTATCATTGTGAGGGTTTAAATGTGAGCTGTGCAAAGGCAAGTGTAAAAAACTATGCTTATCAGAGATGATTGTGATTTAGATATAGTTCGAATTCAGGATATTTTATTCTGTCAAATCTGGAATTTTCAAATTTGGTTGAAATGCTGTTGACGACAATACCTGGATGACAAATTAGGGTGAAATACTGTTGATGATGATACCCTTTGCCCGTGCATTAAGTTTTGCTAATTTTGGATATCTAATATTCTGAACTAGAAAGTCATCTGAAGTTGGGCTTATAATGCTGGAGGAGGAAAAATTCAGAGAGTACACATCCATGAACTGGTAAGGTCTATGAGTTTGGGAATTATGATGATTAAAAATTTCTTGACCAGTTCCAGAGATGGGAAGAGGTGGGGGAGTGGGGTGATCCTTGATTAATAATCAACATGTTTCTTGTTTGGCCATTTGGTGAAGAGAGATGCTTAAAATAACATAGCAGTTTGAGTTATATTTGAGACATGGTTATTGCCATTTTTATATATTAAGGATTTAACTCAGACCAGTCATAATGTTTGTATTTGCTTAGTGTGGTGATGCAAGGGAATAAAGCTGTATTAGACTGGTATATGAAAATGGATGTGATTGTGTCTGCATGTACGAAATGTGATAACTGTATATATTTATGTAAAAGAGACAAACTGATTTGAATGGTATTAACAAAAGTAAGGGCGTGTGAAACTGCATGTTTGAGGTTCATGTTTTAACCAGAGTCATCTGAGCATTTACAGCATTCTGAGAATTACGAGGATTTGTATGAATTTATCATGCATTTGTCTCCTGTGAGTTATCATCAAGCTGTGTTTGCCAATGGTGAAAGATGTTGCAAGATTGAGGTAAGTGAAAAATCTTACTCTTTTTTTGGAGTGTACTAATTACAGGGTTGCTACGCTGCCTGGAAAATTGGGAAAAGTCAGGGAATTCGAAAATTGAGCAAAAAATCGGAGAATTCAAATATTTCAGTCAAAATCTAGAAGAGTCGGGGAATTTTATGATGGCAATCCCCCGTTATAAAAAGCGATTCCCCCCCGGCCATTGTTGGAAGCAATCACTTTCTTGGTGCATTATGTGTCACGTTAGCGTTATTCAAGCAGCTGGTGTAGAGCCAATTTTCGCAGCTCCAATCAGATTGTCTTTTGGAAAGGTAAAGCAAGTTTTCATCAGCTTTAGTTTCCAGTTATCTCAAGAATCGAGAGACTCAATTCTTGAGACTTGATTCTTTCAACTTGCACTGCATATACACTATATATGGTGAAAGAAAATAATACCTTCCCATTATAAATGCCTTATTTGTCATTTTGCAGTAAAATAAAAAAATCGTAATTATTCATCTAGGCTAACCATTTAATATAACTATATTCTCCATAATATTATCAGTTACTGTAATTCAGTTTTTAATCTTTAAGTAATTAATTTTATTTTAATGCTTGCTTTTAAATTTATTTATTATTACTTAATAATACTTTCAAATTTCAGGCAGTTTTTTCTGGGATAATCCTGAAACTAATTCTAGCAGTATGATGCCGTACCGTCAAAAAATTTAATGCACATATTTTTTTGCTTATGTATGCTGCTAAATAAATATTAAATACCTGAATTTTTTTAAAAAATACCATTAAATAGATTTCTTTCATTTAGCTGCAAAATGTCTGCCCCCCCAAAAAAAGATATTTTTTAATCCAGATTGGGCAGATTATAATCTCAGTCTTCAGTCGAGAAAACAACTCCTATTATAGTTATAATAGTAATTTTGGGGGGATTATATGTATATATATTAATTATATATATGTGTATAAAAGTCATCTATAACTGGCAAATTTGTGTGTTTTCAAGTGGTACCATAATTTATTTACCTCTCAGCCCAAACAACATGCACTGCACGGATATACTGGAATTTTCTTAAGACGCACTTGGAAAACATAAAAAAGTCAGGGAATTTAATTCCCCTGTTTGAGTGGCAACCCTGTTTTTTAGTGCCTTTTTCTGCTTATCATCTACTAGAGTAGTAATCTTTCGGGAAACATTGCAGAAATGCACCAGATTGCTGAATTGTACCATGGATTTAGAAAATCACAACAAGCAGTGTGTTGATTTAGCTTGTTTCAATGGACCTACTAATGAAAGTGCATTTAATTGTATGGATGACGATATGACAGAATGTAGGTCATCCTTGAACACTGCTTGTCTAGATCAGGAATTCCCGATATTTTCTTGCATCATGCTCTTTTTAAGGAATGGTTTTCTTCATCAATCCCCTTGCGTTTTTCTCGATAATATACAATATGCAATATAATCATACTACATATAATTACACATAACTTAAAGTGGCAATTAGATTAAGAATAAGTAAAAAGAATTTAAAAGAGTGGCTTATTAGATTTATGTTTAATTATTTTTGTATTATTAAGTTTACAAATATAAAGAGGTTTTCAGAAACAAAATCACAGATAATATGGAAGTTCAGTTTTAATTAATGTGATTGCTGCCCCTGATGTGTCGATGTAATTTTTTTAATATGTGCCATGAAATTACTTGATTTTTAAATCACCGTGTTAAAAAATATTCAGCATGTTTCTTGTTTTTTTAGTCTAGTTTTGTTTTTTCATATTTTTGTTGATTTCTTGCATTTTACCTTCTTATATTGCACTAACTGCATATAAATTTAAGTATTAAAAAATGTTGATTTTAAAAATTAAGTAATTTTTGCATACTTCCCCCCATGTATATTTCCGTACTGTGTGACACAACTGTATGTCAATAAATACTTAGTTATCAATTTTATTAATTTTTTTTTTTTTTTTTGCAACCAGTGTGATCTTGATTTTGCTGATTAATATCCAGTGCATATTTTGCTAATGACCCCTTGATCCACATTGACCCCATCTGTGGCTAGAAGCTGTAAAGATTGAAATATTATTTCTTTTAACTTTCAAGGAGAACCTGTTGGTGATTTTAGTGGGAAGCCTTGGCGACATTTCGGGGTTTGCTCACCAAGGGCTTGGCAACACTAGGCTGGAGAGTTGAAAATCCAAAATAAATTTTTAAAAGATATTAATAAGGAATTTAATAAAGGAAAGAAGATATTCAGAAGTCTTATGGAATTTCAAAATAATTTTCTTAAAAAAAATTATCCGTTTTTTTATTTTCGACATTAAAATTTCGTTGTGGTTTGTTTGGAATTCAGCTCCTAATATTAAACAAGTAGATCCAAAAATAAAATGGGTTACAACTAGTAAAACGTTTACGGTATCTCAGATAATAGGCCTTTTTTTTATTTTTAAAGCTGTATCATTTGTATTTAAGCATATGTATTTTTACTAGGCACAATTCTTTCTAGAATTTGACTTTACCCTAAGAGGAGCATAATTTTAAAAAATCGGAAATATATGGCTATTGTAATATTGCCAGAAAGAGAATTATGTAACAAAAATTGTTTTGATAGCATTTTTAGAACTTCACTATATGGATAGCTACTGTTTTTTACTGTGTAATTAAAATTTTATGTTAACTGCTAGCTAAAATCCTTCCACATATCTCACTTTTGAACTAATAAGTTTCTGGTTTAGTTAAATGCTTTGGGTATATCTGCTAATTATGGTTTTTTATAGTGCAGTTTGTGTAATATCCACTGGGCAAATGTACTTTTTATTTGGAATGTAATGGTCTTTAGGCCACTGTGAAGGTTTCGGTCTCCCACAGCTTCTTTAAATAAACTAAGTTTCCGTATTTATTATGGAAGTTAATGAACTAAATCCCAAATAAAGTTAGTGTCAACAACATAATGAAGTAAAAACAGAACCAAGCGAAGATTAAAGAAGTAAGAAATGGCCAATTAATGGAATGTTTGTTAAACATGGAAAGTATAATGATATGTTCACTTGGCACTGTTTGTCAGTTTAGCACTGTTATTGCCACTTACATTTATCTTTTACTCTTCAGAAATGCTTCTTGTTATTCTCATTAAACAAAAATACATGTGAAGTTTTTGTATCAAAAAATTCTCTCAGTAATACTCTATTGGTAATGATTTTAGGGATAATTTATT